TCCGAGGCAGTCATTCTTTTCAATAATTCAATAATTCAGAAATTATTTTCAGAAAATTTTAGAATGTAATCTACTTCCCTATAATTTCAATTTATCAGGTTAGTGACTGGACTGGAAAGGATTACGTGGAATTATATTAAATTGTTAATTTATTCGAAAACGCAAACAAACAGTGGTTCATTTCAGAACATTTCAACGAAATATTAATTGGTCGTCACACGAGACTCGTTCTGAAATTATGTATTACAAACATGTGCCGCGCCGTTTCAACGAATAATTAGTGTAATATATTTAAAGCTGTTTTTATAAATAATATAAAGAATAAAAGGAACTACGCAAGTTTTATCATTGTAATATTTATTGTCGAAAGAATACATAAGAAAATTATATGAATAATACTTTATTGTTTCATTGAGGCGATGGTTCACAATCATATAAGTACATCACATTCACACGATATCATTTTTTTGAGACGATCGTTCATAATTCTACTAGCATCCGATAGGTTGTGCTGCAGTTATGTTGTTAACGAATTCCATATATACACTGAAGAAAGTCTGGAGTGAATTCTAAATGTAAAATAAACCGCCAGAGAGGGCAGAACAACGTCTGCCGGACCAGATAGTCTGTGATATTATAACTAAAAGTTTCTAATTTTGCTAACCGTTCCGAATATTTAGAAAGAGATTTTTTACCTGGTCCAAATTTATCACTTGGTTTCTATTGTAGAATAAAAGCTGCCGTCTTTAAAACTTAAATGCAATTATCCTTAACCAGGAAAGTAAATTATGTAGGTAGTATAAATACGCAAGCGTTCGTTTGTCAGTAGTAGAAAATGATGTGTTTAGTCATTTCATTCATTCACTTAATTTGTCTTTTTCGCTCCAAAAGAGTTCGTCTCAGATATAATCAATAGGTAAAGCGAAACGATCATTATGGTAGTGCGACAAGAACTATTTAAGAAAGAGATTTTCTGTTTCTGTTTCTATAGACTTTGTGAGCTATAAGATGTCAACGATATCGTGACTTGTTCCTTTGTTCTAGAAATTTAAACAAAACTGTGAGCAAAAGGATAAGTAAAAATTAAATTTACCTATTTGTAGACTAAAAAGTCGTTGTATTGATTCTTAACCTAAAGTCTACATTTTTTTTTCGTTATTTTAATTAGAATTTTATTTATTTGAAAGAAAGAAACAAACAACCTACATAACTCCCTGTCGACGACTGTAGGAAAAGCCTGAAAAATCTCATAGCAATCCCAAAGAGCAAGCTTGGTGGCAATGCTTATTGCGCCTAACTCTTTACCTCTCCTCTCCTCTCTTTAGTGAAAAGTGGTCTGTGGAAAAATGCTTAGCTACTCGTGGTAAGTGTGAATAGTTTTAAATTTTTTTTTTATAGAATAGGGTGACAAACGAGCACACAGTCCACCTGATGGTAAGTGGTTGCTGCGGCCCATAGACATCTACATCTATCCTCCATTAAAAATCAAAATGCAGATGCGTTGTCACCCGTGAGGACTGAGATGGAATGCCTCGTTTCCAGTAAAAAGGGTCTCCGGTTCTCTACACTCACCATACGAAATACAGTAGCATTAAGCTACTATTTCACGCTGGTATTCTGTGAGAGCGTGGTCCTTCCCCGGTCGAGCCGACCCATTCGTGCTACAACTATACTACTAATATAACTGCAGCATGGCTCTACCACGTCCAAAATTTAATATAATTATTTCTATATCACTCTTTGCTACAGACTACAATATATTCATTATTCACTTTCTGTAGGAAATTATTAGTTATTAAGTATTATTATGCAGTCTAAGAACAATATAAAAATTTTCGAGAAGCAAAATATATTTGCATTTCAGATTAGTAAATAGTATTCTGTAGTGGTAACTCTGGAAAAATTACGCCATGAAGCAATGTTTTATAGTCTGTAATGGATGGACGGATGGACAACTTTATATTATTATATAATAGTTCTTTCAAGCTCTTTAATTTGAGCATATGCAAACTCGTTACCGTTTGCTTCAATAAATAGACGAGTGAAACAAGAGTGTACTCCCCTATGTATTGACAGGCTCTTATTCCAGAACTATAGGCCTGTGCTCTATCACTCACTCAATCGTAGTCCAATTGGAAAAAAAATCTGATATGGTCGAAGAGAAAGGTGCAGAACCATAAGCTTTATGTGATTTCCGAGATCAGCAGTTACGTTTATAAGCACTAAACTAGGTATACAGTAAATTTCAAATATAGTTGCAAACTAAAATAAACTTTTTTTAGGTTTATAGTTAGTCTAGTAAGTGATATTTATAATTGGATTATTACGTCATTTCCCATGCGCTTGGATATTTTTTATGAAAGCTTCGTTTCCAGTAAAAGGGATCTCCGTTTCTCTACACTCACCATACGAATCATATAGCATAATTTTTACGATGCCATTCTGAGAGAATGTTGTTTTACCCCGGTCGAGCTGACATATTCGTGCCACAACCATAATATGGCTGCAGCGTGGCTGGCGTGGTCATGGTGCCAATAATATATTGATTCACCTACGTCAAATTCTCACCACTCCATTTGTCGACTGGTAGAGAATGCCTCAAGATATTAAGTATGCTTTTTGTATTCTTTTTTTTTTAAGGAATGCAATAAAGAATAATTAAACAATATATATAACAAAATTTTACCCGTAACAAATTATTTTAAAACAAAAGAATATCGTATGTCAGTTTACACAATAATTTGATTGCGTAAACGTTTCTTACTTAGATATTATTTTCCAATAGTTTGATTAGTTTCTAATAGCATATTCAATCGGTTTCTTCAAATAAATTTGAGTATATTAACGGTAATTAACGGAATATCCCATACGAATTTAAATGGAAATTAATATTTGTGCTAGAAACAAATTATTTGATTTGAAATTCGATATGTGCTCATAATTTTATAAAATATATTTGTTGTTATTCACAAGGTAAGTTTAACCTTTGAAGACAGTACATTGCAAGTTCACGCAGATATAAATTCTTTATCATCATAATAACCGAAATCTGTATAGGATTTTGTACACTTAATATTATAGTTTAATATATAATTGAACAAGTTTTTGTGTTAGAGGATTCGTAATCCTTTTTATATTAAGTCGAGATTTCATACTAAAATAAAGTGTTTTTATTTCAAACAAAATCTTTTCTTTTTACTATACGAAAAGAAACTATTTTTATTTCAAAAACTTTCGAAGCCTTTTGAGGAAAATCTAAGCAGCTAACAAATTGACTGACGCAAAAGTACCGCCCGATATTTGTAACATCATTAAGATTTTCTCGTAAAACAATTTAAAGACATAATCTAATTGATTTCTTAATTTAAAAATATCAACATGAGACAGTACAGACATGGAACAGAAGATCAGTTTGTAATTACAAGCAGTGTTGTTGTAACGTGTTACATTCAAACGGTGCGTTTTGGACTAAATAATAATTCAGCTGAATACGTTTTTCTTAGATTTGTAGCTATTACACCTTTTTCACATAGAAGTTTTTCAATATTAAATCTTGACCCCATTTCGTTCTGTTATGGTCATAAGAGGCGACTATAGGATATGCCAGAAAACGTATGGCTTACTATAGATGGCGATGCACCATATCTTTAACGCCGATATAAAATACGTATAACGGCAGCGCTAAAGGTGTTGCTGCGATCTTTAATCAGCCTCCAAGGCGTGATAATCATACACTCTTTTACGGGATTAGTACACGTAATTGAGGGAGGGCGGAAGGTGCTCTTCAAACTGGGTAAGACATATCATTTTATTTTATTGAGCGGATATGAGTGAGGTAATTTTTACCAACTTTAATATAATGTTTTTCGAAAAGAGTCATGAAAATAAGAAGGCATAGCAGATATAGATGAAATAGCAGTTGCTCGTATATTGTAAATCAAGTTGTATCGTCCCTACAACGGGATTCTCAGTTCCAACAGTAGATTTTTACCAGTGTAAGGAAGGAGGGTATCACAACGTCGGAAATAATATTCATTTTTACATTTTTAACATATTTAGTCACCCACTGTTGGATATATAAATAGGGCCTTTTAAGAGTGCATCGAAAATAACGCACAATTCGAAAGATTTTCCCATACTCACCTGCTATTATTATTATTATTATTATTGGGTATCTATATAGTTTTTTCATCTGCTTGGGTTCCATAAATATATAATTGTGAAAGAGAATGATAAATATACACAAATATCAATAAAATAAATACATAAATAAATAAAAGCCCAACCAGATGGAAGCCCTCAGCAGGGGAGACCAAGCGACCGAGGGTTAGGGGGGAAAGTGAACGAAACCGGCGGACAATGCGGGTGGTATCGAGGAACACCGCCTTCTGCCCCGCCGTCCGAGTCGCCTCAAATGACCCGAGAGGCTGACCGGGATTAGCCCATTCGCAGAGACGACTACAAGAATAATTTCGGCCGGCCGACCACCCCACATGTCGGTCACCTCGTCAGCCAGGTCCAGATATTTTGTATTTTTTTTTTGTATTTATTTTATTTTATTGATATTTATGTATATTTATCTTTTCATTTTAATTTATAATTATATATTTATAGAACCCAACCAGATGAGAAAACTATACAGATATCCTAATAAGAATGAGAATAAATTAAATTACAATTCATATGTCATAATTAAGAATTTACTCAATAGTTTATCGTCGCGCGACTAGTTGTCGCTTCATGCGACGAAAAGACTGGTTAAATTTTCATTCAAGGGTACCGTTACTGAATAACACATATATACATGATTAAGAAAACGCTGTCATCATGTGGCACAAACCCGCGGGAGGAGGCGCTATATGTTAAAAACTCGTATATTGTAAAAACCTAATGTAAATAGTTTTTAAATTGTAAATAAAAGTACATATTTACAAAATTTATCCACGTTTGAGGTAAACTGAAGCAATTAATTTAAATCTTGATTCTTTTACAGTATCGCTATGACAGGTACTAAGAGTCTCATCGTGTTTTCATTACTGGCTGCTTCTTGCTTAAGTCAGAGGCCGCCTTACGCAGGAAGCAGACCTATTGGATACCCACTGCTTGGTGATCGGACAAACTCAAGTTCTAATGATGAATTAGGGAACAGGTAAAATATAATTGTGTAATTTTCTCCAGTTGTTCCTTGTGCTTCATTAACACTACTACTCGTATAACATTTTCCCATAAAATATTTTTATTGCAGACCTGTTCCCATAGAAGCAACAATAACTACAGATAGACTTCCAATCGAGGCGTTGGGGGATATAAATTTAATTAAGCAACTTCGCAAGTATCCGTTAGATAAACAACCTTTTTGGTTCATTAATTGGGAAGCTTTAGAAGAAAACAGAAGAAATTCGCAGACTTATTCCTTGGGGACCAATAACTATATTCACCCTGTTTTCAAGAAGTGAAAAATAATGTTGCCTTGGACAAAAAATATTTCATTTTAATGGAATTTAAATATCAATAAATTTAAAATAAAATAATTTTTATTTGAAATATACGTTGTACTTATGGCTTATAAAAGTAATGATGACGATAATTAAATTGGGGGCCAGTTGTCGCTTGGCAAACTTTGATTTTTAGTCGCTATTAGGAAGTAGCTGCTGCCCGGAAACATTAACAGAGTAAAATTAAAAGAGGTCATCGTGGCTGTTGATGCAGCATGTCAGCAATAAAGTTATGTATAGTAAGAACTGAAATATATAACTAAAGTATAAACAATGATAATAAGAGAAAACGTAGAGATTATTTTATGTACCACCAACTTACAAAAATTATGTAAAGAAATGTGTTCGATAAAAACTTTAACATAAAATAAATATTTCCCTTCATTTGACACTTTTTTGCACGTCCAAGGCCAAATCTAAAAAGCTGTCTTAGAGGTTTTGCTGATAGCATTGATTTGAAAGGTTGACGTTGCGTCACAAACACATGTTATTTTCTCATAAACAAATAAATATGTTTTCAGCTTACAACACCTCACAAATATCTGATATGTATACTAATATATAATAAACACAAATATCAACGCACTTTAAAGTAAGTAAGTATGCTAACATTGCTGAGGACAAAAATATTAATTTTTGTATGAGATTATGAGATTATATTATGATAATGATGAATGAGAATGCTATAAAAATATTTTTAATTATCAACACGAAAATGTTTCAATTACTTTAAATGGTCAAAACACAAGAATTTCCACGAAATATAGTAAAAGTAACACGTGGTAAATTTATAATGCAATTACTAAAGGAAATGTTTATATAAATTAGTATTCAAAGTTACGATTTAGTTATTCCTTGCTTCGTGGAAGCTTATCAAATTGAATTTAATTTAAATAAAAAAGAGTATGCAATGTATTAGAACTTCCTATATTTATTAATTTTCAACCGTATTCTGGAAATCACATAAATTACACATAACGAAACATCCCAACCCGAAACTATTATTAAGTCATACAAACACTTTTGCTGTGCAGGTGCAACCTCTGCAACGCTGCAAGCAAGCGCTTAGTGGGGGAAAAAATAAAATACCACATTTCATTTGTCCAGATTTAATATAGCCCTGAAATATTTTTCCAGGTTTCTCACTACTTTTTCTTTACTGCCGAGAATGTTATATCAATTACCAGTACCAATGCAGCACATTACTGGTTCACTGCTGAACATATGCCTCACCTATGTATTGCCTCAAAATACTGTCATCATCGAGTATCGTGACCTCCTCTGGGTCACCTCTAGGTGATTGAGCAAGTTACCAGATCTTATGATTTTTGTTTACTCTCCCTGTTTTCGTGATCCTTGTCTTCGATTACGTGCTATACACTTTGTCATAACCAATCATCGCTGATGATAAACAAACCTGCGGCGAATATTATTCGCACCATCCCGTCATTTACATGACGGCCATCAGTGTTAAGAACAGCAAAGCCGCCGGCGACAAGAGGCTGTTAATAATTTATAACTCTCATAGAGAGAGTATATGCTATAGTTACCACGTTACGCAAGAAAGTTTTATTTAGCTATTATCTTAAAGCTTTTGATGTCCACCAAAATTTCATTTCAGATTCATCGACAAAGAAAAACTAAACTGGGAGTTTAGTTTTCCTTTGTCGCTTCTTACGACACCTGCAGGATTACATAATCTTACACCACCACCAAAAATCTAACCCAACCTGAGTTCGATTTTCGTGTAATATATAGTTAAAAGTGGGTACTTAGCACTTGAGCTACCACAACTCCCACTCCCACAGTCATTGTTACCATGCTTGAGAGACAGGTATTGATTATGGCAATTTTTATTATATTGAGCTCTTCACTAGAGGTGTTGCCGTTCAAATCCTATTTCAGTTAATAGATTTTATGATCCCCTTTACACGGCAAAATGCGATGATATAATGACAAAATAGTTAACATGTCGAGCCTTTTTTTGTATATTTTTATTTATTAAAGGTAACTTTAAATGAATCCAAATTTTGTTTTTATCTGAATACATACTGTTTATTAATTATTAGCGAAATATAATTTTATAAAGGGCGGCAGCATATTATAATAAAATGCTACGAAATTCATAACTTTATATTAATTTAAATTCATAGTGTTCGTATTCTCATGTGGTACGAACGTGAGCATGCATCTTTTTCTACAGAAACAACGTCGCACTTAAGCATTCAATTGCTTAAGCTTATATTCCTTTATTATATAGATACGGATGTTAATATAACATTAACAAAAACAAAAATTTTTTCTGTTAATATAATACAATATCGAATACCAATGTTATTGAAAATATTTCACTAAAGATACTATATTTCATCCGAGTTCAAAACGCGAGAAGGTTCTTTAATCGACGCGTTATTTTTTCATATGTCGACGCTTCCAAGCGAAAATAGTAACGTGCTATTTGGAGTTTTTAAAAATATGTCAGATTCGTAATCATTCATTATTATTTTTTATTCACTAGTAATTTTTTCAGATATTTTCTAGCTTATTTTAAAATAAAAAGGAATAATAATAAAAATAGAATAAAGGAGATATAATAAATAACACCTCTATTGTACGGAAATTCATGACCTTGTTATTGTCAAGAAAATTATAAAAGTAATACAAAAATATTTCTTTGTGTTTGATTTGGTAAATTACTATAACCGCAGTATTGGCGTAAACGCATAATAATGAAGTGCTTAGTAAACATGATATTATAATTTTGCAGTAAGATTTTATATAAACTCAATTAATAATGGAATCTAACTATATTTTATAAGAATAATATTTTTTTATATGGGAGGGGGCAAACGAGCATACGGCTCACCTGATGGTAAGTGATTACCACCGCCCATCACCAACTGTAACATCAGGCGAATTGCAGATGCATTGCCGGCTTTTTAAAAAGGAGTAGGCTCTTTTCTTGAAGACCCCTAAGTCGTATCGGTCCAGAAAAATGTCTGGTGGTAGTCGATTCCACAAGGAAGTTGTGCGAGGAAGAAAACTTCTTTTAAATTCATGGTGGTGGACCGCCAGTCATCAAGATGGTATGAATAGTATCGCGAATTTTGTCGCGACGTGCGATGGTGAAATTGTGCGGCTGGAATTAGTCCGAACAATTCGTCAGAGCACCCCCGTGGTAGATGCGATAAAGTACGCAAAGAGATGCAACATCTCTTCGCAGTGCCAGTGAGTCAAGTCGATCGAAAAGGGCTCGGTCGCCGACGATTCGAACAGCTCTGCGCTGGATGCAATCAAACGGAAGGAGCTGGCACTGGGGAGCCTCGGCCCAGAGATGGGAACATTAATCCATGTGCGGCCGAAACTGCGCCTTGTAAAGTTGCAGGCGGTGAGCCGGCATGAAATACTGTCCCGCTCTGCTGAGCACGCCAAGCTTTATAGAGGTCAATTTGGCCTTCTCTTCCAGGTGACCATGAAACTGAAAAAGTTTGTCCCGGTACTCTGCGACATTTTCCCGAGAAATGTTGCACGCACAGCCAGTGTATAAAGCATCACCAGTGCTGTCGTCTGCATAGCAATGAATGTTACCGGTTTGCAATACGTCATTGATATGCAGAAGAAACTGCGTTGGTGATGGCACGCAGCCTTGTGGAACACCAGCAATAACGGGCTTGTAATCAGAGCATGCACCGTGTACTACGACAACCTTGATGCTCCGATAAGCAAGAAAACTGGTGATCCAATTTCACAATTTATCGGGAAGCCTATAGGAAGGAAGCTTCGTAAGAAGCGCTTTGTGCCAAATCCAATCGAAGGTCTTCGAAGTCCAAACAGACGGCCAACGCCTCCCCCTTGGAATCTTGGAATCTAATCTCCGCCCATTTATGAGTTAGGTAACCCAGAAACTCACCAGCTGAGCGACCGCGACGGAAACCATACTGGCGGTCACTAATCAGCTGGTTATTTTCAAGGTACCGCATGAGCTGGCTGTCAATAATGAATTCCATTATTTTAGAGAACTAGGAGGTGATGGCGATAGGCCTATAGTTGGAAGCATCAGAGTTACCTTTTTTAGGGATTGGGCGCTCGAGGGCTGTTTTCCATGATTTCGGGACTACGCCGAAGGAGTAGGAGTGCCGGAAAGGAAAAACCGGTGCCAACTCCGGAGCACACGTCTTCAGCACAATAGTAGGGACGCCATCCGGCCCACTCGACTTGTTGACGCCCAGGGAGAGGAGTGCTTTGCGCACGGAGCGTTGTGTAAACAGGAAATCTTGCATAGAGCACTCACTCCGCAGGATGATCGGCGATGTGTTCCCCTTTCATCAAGAGTTGAGTTGGACGCAATGAGAGAACCCAGCGGATCAGCTTTGTCCTTTGCGGCATGGGCCAGTGAGTCGTCCTCTCTGTGCACAGATGGGAGAGATGGCTGACAGAAGTTCACTTGGACAGCCTTGGTGAGAAACTAGAATGCACGTGTTCCCGAAGGAAGACGAATTATTTTATTTTAAATCATATATATTAACATTTACGTATTATTTATATAATACGTAAGACTGCTTCGTTGGTCTAGTGGTTGTAGTAGTGCGACTGCTGATCATGAGATCCTGTTTTCGAAACCCGGGTCGGGCCAAAAAATTAATTATTGAGTTTTCCGTCAATGAATTCTCAGTAGTTGCCCGGAGTCAGTAAGTTGTTGGTGTTTCACCCCCGTGCCACGGAAAACGGTTGGTCCTGCGCCTGATCTCTCTCCGGTCGTGTCGGTTTACCGTCCCATCGCATTATGAGAGTGAGGGAAGAGAGAGTGCACCTGTGCTTGCGCATACACTTGGGTACTACAATCCTGTCCTGCGCCGATGGCTTGCCTCCGCTGAGGCAGGCCGCCGTAGCCGAAATTCGGTCTGGAGGATATTATTATTATGATTATATATATATATATATATATATATATATATATATAT